TTTTTTTTTTCTTGAGACAAAGTCTGGTTCTGTCACCCAGGCTGGAGTGCAGTGGTGTAATCTTAGTTCACTGCAACCTCGACCTCCCAGGCTCAAGCTGTCTTCCCACCTCAGCCTCCTGAATAGCTGGGACTACAGGCACATACCACCACACCTGTCTTCCCACCTCAGCCTCCTGAATAGCTGGGACTACAGGCACATACCACCACACCCAGCTAATTTTCGTATTTTTTGTAGAGATGGGACTTTGTCATGTTGCCCAGGTTGGTCTTGAACTCCTCAGCTCAAGCCATCTGCCTGCCTTGGCCTCCCAAAGTGCTGGGATTACAGGCATGAGCCACTGTGCCCAGCCCCACCTCATTTTTAAACTGATTGTTCATATTTCATAAAAATATTTTCATGTCATAAAAATATGAAAAAAGATTGTTCAGTAAATACATTGCATAAGACCTAGTTGGCAGGCAGGAACCTCATTGTCACACTAGAGTCAAATAAGACTTTGTCAGAAAGTGTGATGTCCCAATTCCAAACAATGTATTTAATACTGTCCTTGTGAAGAACTGTTTCCTTTAAATCTTAATAAGGCATGGTTCCTTCCCATGAGGTTGTCTCTTGCAGGAAACAACTGCTCTCTTCAGAATTGTTTAGCAAAGCTGTCTCACCTTAGGCATAACTTATGAGGGAGTATCTCGAGCTATGCTTTTGGAGCCAGGGATTTTCTTTCACCCTGGTGCTGTGACCTGGGAAAGAGACAAGAAGTATGCCTATCTTAGTAAAGTGGAGAAGGGAAGAACCAGTAGACTTCTCAGGCCCCTTGTATAATAGAAGAGTATGTTACGTGGCATGTAACGGATTACCTTAGATGTTGCACCTAACTGTATATGGCAAATGATGCTGGATTAATGTTCATCATAATCGGTATGGAAATGGCATTTTGATTACGTAGGAAAATGTCTTCATTCTTAGGGGATGTAGGCTGAAGTGTTCAGCCATTTCATTGTATAGGTTTATATGGATAAAGCATCGGTTACGCTGTTAGTACTTGGTGAATCTAGGTAAAGGGTATACAGGTATCCATTGTACTGTATTCTGTCACCTTTTCTGAACGTTTGTTGGAGATTTGCAATAAGTAGATTACTGAGCCTGTACTACCCTCTTTCTAAAACCGCAGACAGCACCCACCCTCAGTTGAAATACTGATGCTCTAAAAACTGTTTTTAAAATCTTTATTAGGATTAACAGGAGAGTATATGAAACCAAACTTTTTTTGTTCTTCTAACAGTTTATTCATGGAGGACACACTGCCAAGATTTCAGATTTTAGTTGGAACCCCAATGAGCCTTGGGTCATTTGCTCAGTGTCTGAGGATAACATCATGCAGATATGGCAAATGGTGAGTTAAAACATTTTTCTTGAATGACTATCTTGTTAGTTGCATATTATGCCAAACATTTACAGAAACAGTTTAAAAGAACTTTTTCCATTTCAACAATATAATCTTTAGTCCCATACGGTGCTTTGTCCACTATTTGCTATTTGTAGCACCTGTCAGATCAGGAGAAATCTCTGCATCTGCTCTGATTTTCATTGTTGTTGGCATTCTTCGTGCACTGGAGTCTTGGCATCGCTACTGTCGCCAGTGTCCGTTCTGTGTTGCAGGCATGAGGGATACAGGAAGGAAATGTCAAGGCATTCAAATGATACCAGGTTCTCTGATGAGGAGCACTAAGTGCTTGACATTTCTAAGGTGGTGATAACCGACATTTCCATAAACATCTGGGCTACCACTTCCTATAAACCATGCTTGAAGTGCTTTTGGAAAACATCTCTTACGAACAGCGACTGAAATAAGTAGTGCATGGATGGGTGGCTAAGTATACATGTGGAATTACACACTGGCAAAGAATTTTTCAGAATACTGGCTAGCTTACCATTTCCTTACTGAAGTTTTTAGAGAGAAATATGAAAACGAAACTAGCAAGTTCTGAATAAATTGTTTTTAGATGACCTTGTAAAAACCATAGGGAGTTTTAACCTGTGGATTTATTTGGTTATCTTCAGGCTGAAAATATTTACAATGATGAAGAGTCGGATGTCACGACATCGGAACTGGAGGGACAAGGATCTTAAACCCAAAGTACGAGAGATGTTTCTGTTGAATGTAATGCTACATGAATGCTTGATTTCTCAAGCGCCAAAAGGCTTTGTATAGTAGAAAATGTAAGTGGGGTGGCTTCTGGCTTCTTTATCCTCTGATTCTAGCACTTTCAAGTGAGCTGTTGCGTACTGTATCATATTGTAGCTATTAGGAAAGAGATGATTGTTGCTTAAGAAAGAACATCACCATTGATTTAAAATGCAAGTAGCAGCATACTGCCTTTGATTCAACTGTTTAAGTCCTCATTTTCTCAAACTAAGTGCTTGCTGTTCCCAAATATGCGAAAGTAACTTTTACACTTTTTCCTTCCAACACTTCTTGATTGGCTTTGCAGAAATAAAGTTTTAAAATAAAACTTTTTGTGTTCCTTTTAGAAGCTTGGTAGGGGTGTGTCGGGGGAGGGGGAGGTGTATCCACTTTTTGAGTAGAAGTGGGTGAAATGGGTAAAATGGTACCTTTGGACTCATACATACAGTTAAGAAGGCCACACAGATAGTAAAAGAATACACAGAAGCTATTAAGTTTATCATACATATTTACTTAATCTATACAGAATCAAGTAGATAAAATCAGATTCACATTAGTGAAAAATCTCTACAAAATGTCTGTCTTTGAAAAGCAAAACAAGACTGCCTCTTAACAATTCGTATCCTCATGAAAGACGTGGGCTGTAAAAATAAAGCAGTGTGTTTAGCACAAACTAGAAGATATCTGCATCATTTTTTTCACAGTTATTTCCATCTACAGTCTGAAAGAGGTAGATTTTTCTGCAACACCTGAGAATTGAATTGTGATAACCAGGTGTAATAAAGGCAGTTGCATACATAACTGAAAAATACTGGTCTCAAGACCAAGAAATGTACTCCTAACAAGTCTGAGGATGAAATGGTCCATATTACCCAAGACCCAAGTTTTCTCTACACCTTGGAGTCTACTGCCACTATAAATAATACACATCACGATTCCATGATGGTGCAACAAATGCAATTTAAGTGAATTCAACATTTAAACCTTTTCTGGGCCAGCCTAGTAGCATTACAGTGTTCTAGAATATGGTAGATAAAGGGTGTGCTACAAAACCACAACACTGGGCTGGTGAGGTGATCACTGTAGGAAGACGTCCTTCTCAGAGGGTCCCATTTGTATTTTATTCACAGGGTAATGGGAGGAAGGGTTCTGAAAGGACAGTAAATGCATCCCAGACAAAATCCATATCCTTCAACACTATAATAGCATCTAGCTAAAAATAATACGTAGTAAGCTGAAAGCAGTAGGCCAAGTACTGTTAATCACATTGCTTTAAAGCCCTTGAAAGTATGCAACAGGTCCAAGATTTACAATCATCTTCCACACAGGACAAGCACCACAAAGAAACGTGGTGGGCTACACAAATGGCTTAATAAAATGTTAAGAGCTGTACATCCAGCAGAGTTCTTGTGAAATGTGATCATTAGTACTAATTTTAAGGTAGATTATATTTCTGATCTATACCTGCATTTCCCCCCCCCACCCCAGGGAAATAAGTCCAGTATTTCTTTAGTAGCAGAAGGGGGTGTACTCAAAGGAGGCTGTTGGAGGGTATCATTTTTGCTTCTGACTCATTTTGACAGTAATTAGATTAGATAATATACTTTGGATTTCTTTTCCTCCACTGGCTCCTTGAATTAACATGACTGATGGTGGAGGCTTAGATAACGATTCTCCACTCTAGGTGGTTTCCTATCTGTTGGACAATTTTCAACTCTTTCAACCCAGTTTAGACCATGATTGTGACAGGACTTTACAAATAAAACTTGTAACAAAGAGAAAACCTTTTTAACTGGACAAAACAGTTTATTCAGTCCAGTAAGCAATTTAACAAGTGTCAGTTTGATAGTTTTGCTCAGTGGAATGTGCTAACATCAGTTCTAGTAGAACCTTTTATTTCATAAAGCATTTCAATGCAAATTATACCAGGGACAAAGTCAAAACTTTCATCAGTGCAGCCTGATTAATCATTTGCATAACTGAGCCACATTCAACATCAAAACAAAGAATTAATTCAAAAGTTATGTGCTAAATTTCAAATTCCCCCCCCATTCCAAGTGCAGAGACCTTGATAATACTGTGGGGTTTTGTTTTTGTTTTGTTTAAAAAAAAAGAGATGGTAACTAAGAAGGGGGTTAGAAACAGACTGAATGCATAAGTAATAGATCCTGACTACTCTGACACTCTGCCAAGTCTTCCCAAAGTAAAAATGTTGGTGCCAGTGTTTGTTTTGGAAATGAAATCAATTTCAGTTGCTACTGATCCAAAATGAAAATTCCCTTTTGAAAAACCTGGAGTACTTTGCTGGTGGAACTTTTATAATAACTTTCAAGTAGCCAGAAGGTATTGGAGGAACTTATGCCTAGTGAAAGCTACACATGAATTGACCATCATTGTCTTTGACAAGGGACTTAACAGTGACGGCAAACATGAACACCAGTTTTCAAAGAGTAAGTGAGACCTTGTATGGGAAGTGGAGAATATGTACTCAAATCCCAAATCAGAATCAAACACAAACCGCCATCCTCTACGGGAGCCCCTCGTGGTCCAAATTCCACACCTGAAACCAAAGCAGGATGTCTGTTCAGTCATATAAACACTAAGCTTATTTGTCTAGTGATTTGCCTGTATGTACTACTTTGTCCACAAGTGATATCTTTATATACATACTCTGCCAAAACGTAGTATTCTAAGCATGTGGCCATCTCAATTTGTCCAGAGGTATATTATCAAAAAACTAATTTCAATCAAATACCTCGTTTCTGACCCAACACTAGAGTTTTTTTTACCTGGCATTTAAATGGGTTATTAGACAAAACTAATCATCTTTGTATTTTCTTTTTTTGAATAATATTAATGGGGGGGCTAAGACGTTTAAATTAGTATTGTTTTCACATCAAGGAACCATCGTCAGAACAAAGTTCCCTCGTAATGGCCCTGTGAGTGAAATTTTCATTAGGCTGATTATGTGCAAGGAGCAGGGAAAGAAAGGACAAGGCAATGAACACATGCATTCCAGTGGAGGGGGAATGAGGCTGATGTGCAACACGGCTGAGGAAAATTTATAGATTAAACTATTCAAAATTGCTAAGCAGCCTCCTGTACCACATAAGTCCAGTAGTTCTAAGAAAATACAGATATGGTAGAAAAAGTAAGAAAATTTTCACCACAAAACCAATAATTAACTACTAACAGAGAAAGTTATACACAAAATATATCTCTCAATACAGTGATCACACCTCATCTTAGTCAACTGACTCGATGGCCGGGGCAGAGCCTGTGGACAGGGGCTTTTGCACGGTGCTTCTCTGGCTCTTGGGCTCAGCCTCCAGGTGCGCTCCCAGGGCTCTTTTCGAGGAAGTGTTCAGCTCCTTGTGAGAATCCAGGGCAGCGCAGGGCTGCATCACAGGTGTTGCTAAATCCCTGTCAGCCGCTTTGACGGAGACCTGCTCTTTCAGGACTTCCACCTTCTCATTGAGCTCATTCCTTTCTGTTTGAAGAGCCCTGCACAGCTTCTCTAACCGTTCCAGTTTTATTTGAAGGGCCTTGTACTCTTTATCACGAACTGTTTTCTGTAAGAAAAAAGATTTCTGTAATCTTGTTAAATATCAATCAGGTACAAAAAAATCAAGCCAACTGAGTCATACTGGACACTTTTCCAAACCTATGAAACGTGTTCCATCTCTTCAGCCTCCTACCATTCTAGCTAGCTAGCATGACTGCACTCATAAGTATACCGAATGAGATTCAGCATCATGATACTGTTTTAGGGTGACAGAAATTAAATTCCTTTTGTCACACTTTTTTTTTTTTTTTTTGAGACAGTCTCACTCTGTTGCCAGGCTGGGGTGCAGTGGCATGATCTCGGTTCACCACAACCTCTGACTGCCTGGTTCAGGCGATTCTCCTGAGTAGCTGGGATTACAGGCACGTGGCACCACACCCAGCTAATTTTTGTATTTTTAGTAGAGACAGGTTTCATCATGCTGGCCAGGCTGGTCTTGAACTCCTGACCTCGTGATCCGCCTGCCTCGGCCTCCTCAAGTGCTGGGATTACAGGCATGAGCCATCACGCCTGGCCAAAGATAAACTTTTTAAGACATTTCCTATTGAACTATTAAATAAATTCAAGACATCACAAAGACTAGCAGACACAAAACAAAGGCCTAAATAAAAAGAGAATATGGCTCATGTCTACATAGATTTCTCCTCTACCAATTTTTAGATGAGAANGCCCCAGCATTTTAGTTCTTTCCCGAAATGTTAATAAAACAAGCAAAAAGTACTATGCTTTTTTGAAAGCCTACTAAGTCAAGCTAGAAAGGCACTACATGCTGCATCAGCATCACCTGCATGCTTGTTAGAAAGGCAGTTATCTGCCTCCACTCCCACAGAACTAGTGACTCAGAGCCTCTGGGTGGAGCACAGCAATCCTGGTCTTAACAAGCGGGAGTCTGATGCAAGCTCAAGTTTCAGAAATCACTGCTATAGAAGAAAGCAAAATCTGAATGTTTTGAGCTATCTCCGACACAAACCTTGGCTGATTAACTGGGTGGTAAGAAGCTCAGCCCCTCACTCAGGGCCCTGTCCCTAACTTAACTGCCAGGAAAGAAGTCACAGATTCTACCCAGCAACGTATCCCCACCCCTGCCCCAACGCAGGCTGGAGTCCTCAGTTATGGCAGTAGTGTTACAGCATCCATCCTGGCCCTGATAGGTACCTGAACTCAAGGAGTCCCCATGACTAACACTACACCCTAGTCGCAGAAAACCATCTCACCTCTTCAGCCATTTGCAGAAGTGCTTTATTATTGTTTTCCCATTTGGTACGCCATAGTATTGTTTCTTTTTCCAGTTTTTTAATTTTCTTTGTCATCTGTGAACACAAGTGCACATTGAAATTCTCAGTTCTCTTCCTTATCTCTACTCCCTGTCCCACCACACATTTCCGTGCCCCTCCCCTCCCCCCATCCCTGCACCTGCCTCACCCGCTGACAGCTGTGTGTGTCTTTATAGAAGTAGCTGTGCCTGCCTGTCGGTAGCAGAGCTTATCTCAGAAGCTCCTAGGGTGGAACCAAAGAAGGGGGTTTGTATTATGAGAAAAACAAATTTAATCTCCTCAGTTTCAGAGGCAGCAGTACATGGAGGAAGCTGTCAGCCACCACACTCTGAACTCAGTTAAGGCCGAAGTGCAGCTTCCATCCCAGCTCCGGGTAGCGAGAGACAAGCCCTCCTTCTCCCTCGGTTGTATGAAAAAATGCCCATCACTGACTTTTCTGTCCATTAAACGAATTCCTCAGATTCTTGGGAGGACAGAGATCTTTGGCCC